AGATAAGGTTAGAAAACTCTATTCATCAGGTCTATAAATGTTGCAGGTGCGTTAGTTAACCCGAATGACATTACTACAAATTCAATGACCATACCGAGTCCTAAACACCGTTTTTGGAACATTTTTTTCTTGGATCTTCAACTGATGATAACCTGAACGTAAATCAATTTTTGAAAACACTGCAGCTCCCCTGACTTGATTAAATAAATTGTCTATCCTTGGAAGAGGATACTTGTTCTTTATGGTCACCTTGTTAAGTTGACGATAATCTATACAAAGGCGTATTGAACCATCTTTCTTCTTTACAAATAACACTAGAGCACCCCAGGGTGACACACTAGGTCTAATGAATCCTTTATCTAAAAGCTCCTACAACTGAGCCTTTAACTCTTTCAATTCCTTCGGGGCCATATTGTAAGGAGCCATCGAAATTGGTACTGATCCAAACATAACTTCAATCTGAAACTCAATCTCCCTATCTGGAGGTAACCAAGTAAATAATCCGAAAATACTTCTGGAAACTCTCTGACTGTCGGAATATCTTCAAGCTTCCTTTCTATAACTCTTGTATCGATTACATTAGCAATGTACGCTTGACATCCTTGTAGCATCAACTTCTAGACCAACATCAACGATATCACCTTAGCTAAGGGATTAATTCTTTCACTGACCACACTAACTTCCAATATCTCCAAACTTGTTAACTGAACTCACTTAAGTCGACAATCCACGTTAGCATGATAATGGTAAAGCAAATCCATACCAAAGATAACCTCGAATTTGTCAAAGGGTAATTCCATTAGATTAGCAGGGAATTCAATTCCCCGAATCCATATGGGACACCATTGACAGATTTGTCTCACCCGAGGACTATTTCATAATGGATTCATTACAATCACCTCACTACAAATAGGCTCTAACGGAAGGCTCAAATCTTTAACCAATTTACTACTGACATAAGAATAATTCGATTTTGGATCAATCAAAACTAAAATAGATTTACCAGCTATCTGAAAAGTACCTGCAATTATTTTCGGATCATCACAATCTTCACTGATCTTCAGGTTGTACACCCGAGCGGTATAGCGTACTTCAGGTTGAGTAATCGACTCAGATTGATTTCTTTCTCTACCTCTACCTCTACCTCTCATCCGTGCAACAGTGGATCTCTCTATTTGGGCAGGCTATCCCATCATCATTGGGAAATCTTAAATAAAATGTCCTGCCTCTCCACACTTAAAGCAAGCTCCATAGACCTTTCTGCAAACTCCACTATGGTTTTTTCCACTATACTGACACTGTTTTGGCTTGTCCACTCCAGATTCCAAGGAATAAGTTTGTCTTGCTCTCCCTAGATTTGATCCCCTACCTGAGGATGCTACAGATTCTGCTATAGTCTGAGGTCGAGAACTCGAACCTCTACATTTCTTTGATTGAGACGAACCAGACGAAGCACCCGATCTCTTATTCCATTGGATCTTTTGTTCAGTAAATCTTTCATTTTGAGCTCACTCCAAAGCTTTAGCTCGGTTCACAACCTTATGGAAGGAAGAGAGGTTAAGTGCCAACAGTAACTCTTTCAATCGGGGTCATATCCCTTCCACAAGCCAGTCACATGAGTCTTTTTCTGTAAGAACTAACTCGACAATAAATTGACTTAATTTGTTGAATTCGCACTCAAGCTCATACACCGTGTGATTCCCTTGCTTTAAATTCATAAATTTTTGCTTCATCTGCGTGATAAATTAATCCCCTATGTATTTGTTCTTAAACTGCACCATCCAATTGTGGCTTGACCTCTTAATAATGAAACTGCACCATCCAATTTCTCCATTTCAGAACAATGGAGATTCTCTAGCATAACTTTCAGATCATTGAGCCACATATCGTGGGCAACCAGACCTTCTTCAATATCTCCCCTAAATTTAGGCGCTCCTAAACTTCTTAGCTCTTTAGGGACATTCATCTTAGGGGCTGAGGAGGTAGACGGTTGGAAACTCATCAGGATTACATCTAACGTCTAAAAGAAAGTTCCCTGATCTTGAACAGGCACTCCAGGCTGTGCCTACTCCTCACCCTGCCTGCTCGGGGTAGATGAGTTACTACTCACCTCCATCCTATCTCCCGCATCACATCGGGAGCCTTCAAAGTTCGACATCTATTAAGATCAAACTACTAAAGGTATTAGCAAGGATATCATATTGATCCCTTATCAGATCAGAAAGACTTTATTAAAGTTTGGCATGTACACTTTTTAAAACAAAAAAACGACTTTATTTTGAACTTAAAACCACTTAAACCATAGCTCTGATACCATTAAATGTAACACCCATGACCCATACCCGACCCAAATACGAATTTGAGGTGTCACATTTGACTTTTCAAAACATATGAAATCTACAAATATGAACCAAATTAAAATTTTGAATCAAAATAAAAAGATATTAACCTTCATTTAAATAAGAGAAATATTTCACCTTCATATTTAAATAAAACTTGATAATGTCATAATTACAAAATATTTGAGTTTACAAAATAGATCAGAGCATTCCAAATTAAACGTATAATACATGCCAACCATTTACAAAATTAACAAAAAAACCTACATTTAATTCGTCTTGATGTGATCTTCACAGTATGCTATCCTTAACAACTCAGTCTTCCGCTTTCTTCAAACCTACGCGTGAGGAAATCACACGATAAGTCGATGACTTAGTGAGGCAAACTTTAATAGTGCTAACTTATTAAACGAAATCTTATTTGTTTTTAACAAAATATTTACACAAAGAACTCTCATTATTTTACATATAAAAAGTATACTTACGTATATTATTCACTTTGTTTCAAATGCCCAATGTATACTACTGAGAACTCTAGGTATTTGACTACATTGAGGTTGTGCACTAATGTTGTCACCATAACTCGTAATTTGCACCGAAGTGCCACATAATTGTCCCAAATGACCACATAGGTTTGCACTAAAGTTCCACATAAGTTTGCATTGAAGTACCACATATATGTCCCGAATGACCACATAAGACCCTCGACTCTTGGCATGCCAACTATACCTCCAATTCTCATACATATACTTTGGGATATTAATCACATAATTATGTTCAATCATTATTTAAAGGGTTTCTTATTCACATAGTTTCTCTCTCATAGGATCTATTCACATTCACTGATTCAAAGTTCACATTTACTTATTCAAAGTTCATATTTCCATATTCATATGATCATAAAACATAAATGGTATAATGTAAATGGAATAAAACATTGAAATATAATAGAAAATAAATATAAAGTTTTCGATCGAAAATAAGGAGGTTGGCTCATCGCAAGCCTTCCCCAATTATGTTACAAAACCGAGAAGTTGCACTCACCTTTGCCTCATAGAAGTTATAATCCAAATTTTTAACACGTTCGATTTGATACTTAATATGTCGAGTTGTCGGAAATTGAAAACGATCAATCACTACACAAAACAATAAAATATCAATATCGTTCTTCGAATCGATTATATCAAATCATAATAATGTGGAATGCAATGAACTCTTTCTTCCATTTCATGCCTAGAAGTATCGGTACTACCCCCAAGTATCGATACTTCCCTTCAAGGGTATCGATACCTCCTCAAGGTACCGATACCAATTTGGCATTCGATGTTTCAAGGGTATCGATACCTCCTCAAGGTACCGATAACAATCTTGCATTCGATGTTTTAAGGATATTGATACCATCATTCAATATCGATACTCCCCTTATAGCATCGATACATCTTCAACAGGTATCGATACTACCCTTAATAATTTCACAATTTTTCCCTTGAAGTATCGGTATTGTTATAGTGGTACCGATACTCCAAGCCCATAATTGTCATTTTCACCCCGACATACACCCAAAAATCCTCCCAAATCTATCATATAGACATACCTTAAGCCTTTGAACTTACCTTTATACTTCCAAACCAACTTGTACCCATTTACGACTCCCAAACAACCCAAATTTCATTAAAACACTTATCTCTAAAAATCATACCATGTTTTCAACCAAGCTCTTATGCAATTCTAATACTCTTAAACCTTTAATTAACTCATTGACAAGTCAAAAATCTCATCAAAACTCTAAAAACCATACCATATCAAAAATTCATCTTAATATTCATTTTACAAATCGCTTCTTAATTTACTCATCTTGTTGTTTAAATCCTATATAAGCTCTTCTTAAGCTTATATAATACCCAAACTTTCATAACAAAACCAAAAATTAAAGGAAACCCATAGATTTTAGAATCTTACCTTTAGGGAGGGAGCTCACGTAGAAGAAGAAGAAAGAGCAAGGAAGGAGTTTCCATATACACCCAAAACCCACATGCCAAACACTTAATAAAGGAGATACTTATCCTTTAATATGCAAAGACCATATTTCCCTCTCCAATATAACAAATTCTTCATCAAGCCCTATATAGAAAATTCACCATAAATCCTTAAATTATCAAATTATTCTAATTAAAACACCGAGTTTTGAAGTTCTTACATTTTGGTCACTGACCCGATGATTGGGTGGTTACATCCATGACATTTGTACTTAGAACTTTTTGCACAATAAACTCTTTGAAAGGTTGCTTTCATCTTAGTTCTTGGGTTAGAACTCTATCGGTTTCTTGTCAATCTTGAAGCCTTCCTCGTTTTCATTTTATTATAACGTTGGTTCCTAGCTCACCTATAGCTAACGGGTCACATTCCATCATCTTCCACCTAGATTCCATCATATTATATTGTTGGTTCTTAGCTATATATAGCTAACGGGTCACAATCCATTTTCTTTTCAATCCATCTTAAATATTCCACACCATTACCAATCCATACCTTTTCCATACTTCCATTCCATCCAAACTACAACTTCCATCATCTTCCGTTCAAAGAAAGCAATTCAATCTCTTACTAGAATCACGATCAGGCAACAACGTATATGACTCGAAACAAATAACCGGGATCATATCACTCTGCCTGCAAGATGTTGAGGAATGATGGATGATAAACTTAGATTTATAAACTTAACCCAGTAATTAAACTCTAAAGGCATGTAAAGATCGCATTCATTTTTTGTACTATAAACTACTGATTCAAGGCTCGATGAAAATACCCAAGCAATCAAATTTTGTTCTTCCTCTCGCCTTTCAATATCAATAACTCTCCTACCCGAGATGAGCTCCAGAAACACTACACCAAAACCATAAACATCGGATTTCGTTGTGATCTGGCCTGTCATTGCATATTCCAGAGCACAATAGCCATAGGTCCCCATGACCCTCGTTGATACATGGTCCTTCCCTCCAGTAGAGCCTAACTTTGCAAGTCCGAAATCAGAGAATTTGGGATTGAAGTTCTCATCTAGTAGTATGTTTGATGCATTAAAATCGCAATAAATTATCGGCGGATCAGTGATATCGTGTAGGTATTCTAGCCCTTTCGCAGCTCCTTGAGCTACTTTCATCCTTGTATTCCAATCCAATGGCTCCTTACCTGAAGGCACATCTAAATAAATAGATAACAAAATCAGAATCCACTGGTATAAATGAGTACAGAATAAGTGCAAAGAGTGCCATGTTAACATACCAAGAAGATGATTTTCCAAAGATCCATTTGCCATGTATTCATAAACTAAAATCCTTTGATCCCCATCTGCACAATAGCCAATCAGGTTTACAAGGTTCGGATGGTTAACCAGACTTAACATTAGAACCTCTGAGAAGAATTCTCTGCTTCCTTGCAATCCATTCCTATCGAGCTGCTTCACGGACACAATCTAAGAAGTTAAACCAAGCACACAAATTGTGAACTTTCAGGGTCATATTAGCAACATGCACGAAACATTTAGAAATAAGTTGACCTTCCCCTATCAGACAATTAGGATTGAAGTTGTCTGTAGCAACAACTAGTTCTCTAATTGTGAAAATATAAGCTGAAACTTTAGTTTTTCTAGCTTTCTGAAACTCTTTAGTTATTTTCTGATTGCCACTACCTGCACATTGATTAGAATGATCAAAACAAAAGTTCCTAGAATAATTGAGTACCATCTGGGTTTCAGTTACATCAAAAGATAACAAATAATACCTGTTTTGCTTGACAAATTATTGAGCAAAGACCTCAATGATTTCCCATTGTTATTGCTATCAATGCTGCCATAAGCACTCTCCTGAAGAGAACCAGTACCTTGATGCAGCTCCAGTCCACAACAAGAGAAACAACTCATTTTCTTTCCCAATCTCCAATTCCAGAATTATTAAAAATGGTGGCAAAGAAAACAAAGGGGTGTGTCTTGAAACCCAGAACTGTGCGTGTTCTTATAATGCAAGGGCTAGAGTTTGGTTTAATTAACGTTCCATTTAAGAGCTTGGGTCAGTATTATCAGTTTGCTAAACATGGAAGTGTTTCGATTAGCTTCATCCATAGAGAAGAGATCAGCACTAAGAAACTAAAAGGAAAGAGATTTAAATTTTTTTTTGAATAGGTTTGGTAGAAACAGAAAGAACTGATGCGTCCACTTAAATTCCATTTAAACAAATCTGAGACCAACTCCTAACATCTTCTCCAAAATTTTGGTATTCAATGGATGCATGTGCTCACAATGTGTTCCACTACAAAAATTAGAATTCAACTCAATGATTCTCGAATCGAAACTCGGCTCGACTCGATTATAATCTTATTTATGGTAGACTATTATAGATAACTTAGTTATTAATTCGAATACACATTAGTATTTTTTTTGTAAAAGTTATTATTTAATTAACCAATTGATTATTTAAATACGAAATATTATATTTATTAAATTTATTTCTAATTAATACCAAATTGATTGAATATATGAGTTTGGGAATTAAAATTCTTATTATATCAAGTCATGTCCATAATTTTTTTTTTTAAAATTAAATCTAATTCTAATCCTACTTATACGGGTGAGGAAGGGAACTACAAGGGAAGGAAGATACCAAATGTGTTCGCTTTGTCCACTAATATTTAATGGTAAGTGAGCTATTTATAATAATATTTTAATTAATTCATTAAATTATAACTTTTAGAGAAAAATAACTTAATTGTAATCAAACTAATAATTGAATGACATGTAATGTGTTTTACCCTAATATAAATTGCATTGTTTGAAGAAAAACAATCAAATTAGATTTATTACTAATATTATAAAAGTAGGATAAAATTATGTCTAATATAGAATAGGGACTAAAACTAGAATTAGACCTTTCTTTCCTTCTCTTACGTCAATTTTGCATGTTTAAAATTGGAGGGAAGACTTGCACGTGGCAAAAGGGACCCATGCAATTCATCATACGTTCCTCTCAAACCCTTGCGAAAACCTAGGAAAAATCAAACCATGAATTTTAGAATCGGACCGGTTAGCGAATCGGTCATGTTATCGGTTTACTGGTTCAACCAGTCGAATCGGTCCGATCGGTCGAAAGAACCGGACGACGTCATAATTATTTAAAAAATTAAATAAAAATACCAAAAATATTTAATAAAAAATAATTTTTTATATCACAAGTCATATTCAAACCAAGTCATAACATATATAAGTTAAAAACCATAAAATCAAGTGAAACAAAATAATTCAAATTAACTATAATATAATATTTAAGGTAAAACATATTAAATAATAAATATAATTATATAACTATAATTAAAAAATAAATTTGGGGTTAAAAAATCATAACAAAATGATATTGTTTGGTTTAATTTTTTTTAAAAACAATCCCACATGGCTAAGAAACATAGAAGAGCATCCCAAAAGTCTAAAGAGTAAAAATATGAGAACAAAACAATCTCATATTGCTAAGAAACATAGAAGCGCATCACAACTAATTTCTATAAATAATAGAGGTAATTTGACATTTAAAATCATAGAACCTTTTGGTGAGCATTGAGTGAACTATTCTTTCACTTCAATCAAGCTCGAATTTTAGGCTTCAATCGAGCTTCTAATTTTTTTTTTGAGTTCAAGCCTTTTTGAGTTCAAGTTTCAATATTATATTTCGAGTTTGAGTTGAATTTGATAATTTTTAGCTTGTGAGTTTGAGTTGAGTTGAGCTTACTTTTAAAGTTTTCAAGTTCGAGTCGAGCTAAGCAATACTAGAGTTCGACTTGGCTCGTTTAACAAACGACGTTGTTTGGTTTATTTTTTTTAAAAAAACAAAAACAAAAATCCCGGTTATTCCCGGTTTTTCCCGATTTTTTTCGGTTTTCAGTCGGTCCGGTTCGAACGGTTCTGGCCGGTTCACTAATAGCGGTTCAACCGGTTTAGATTAAACCGGACTAAGCAACGGTTTCCGGTTGAACCGGCCGGTCCGGTCCGATTTTCAAAACAGAGAATCAAACACAGATGCACCACAATTTTTAGAGAATGTGAGACTTCTACTTTGACTCTTAGAACATAGTGTTTAGCTAATTCCAAAATTAATCAGACTTGTATAAGATAAACCAGCTGCTTCAGTTCTATTATAAGTATTATCATCTTGATAACAGAATTTCATTGAGAATAAGATAGCTGTTTCAAATGGTGATTCCAGGATATTTCCAGTGTTAAATAGGACTGTAAATGAACCAAACGTTTAGTAAGAAGTTCGTTTATGATTGATTATTTATTAAAGAATGAATATGAACAAAATTTTATATTCATTTAATTAAATGAACGAACACAAACAAAGAGTTCATTCATTTATATTCGTGAACATTCAATAATCTATTCGTTTATGTTCGTTCATTTATATCAAAAGTTAACTCTGAAGTTGCAACTTATATTAATGAATTTTATGTGGATATTGTTGTTGTGGTTTATGTTCGTTTATCATTTTATCGAATGAACGTGAACGAAAACGAATAAACTATATTTCTTAACGTACAATTATGAATAAGCTATATCTCTTAACGAACGAACAAGAAATTATGTTTTTTAATTGTTCGTGATCGTTTATTTGTTCAATTAAAGTTAAACGAACAAACATGATGATAAACTTGTTCTTATTCATTGGTAGTGCTAAGTGGTCCAAGCAATGCAACAATTAGTATTCAGAGAAGAGGAAATATTCACTAATTAACAAACAAAACAACTTTGATTGTTTTCGCAAAGAAATTATTTTCTCATGTTGCAGTCACTTAACCAAACAGTCAGTGGCGAATACAGAAAAAACAATTTATTGGGAAGGTCAATATAAATATTATTAAAAATTGGTATAATACTAATTAGCCCCCAACATTTTAAATTTTAGGTAAAATTTCATTCGTGGATGGAAACCGTTATTTGACAAACGATTAACGTTATAAAATAAGAGTTTTTTTTTATCTTAAAACAAAACATTGAGAGCTTAAATGTTTCAGAAAAAAATAAGGGTCAAAGTGACTATTAAGTCCAACATTAAAGATTTTTTGTCATAAAATGAAACCTAAGGAGTCATAATACTCAAAAAATAGAATATGGACTAAAATGATCAATTTAATTAATGTCGAGAACTGATTTTGATATTATACCTAAATATTTATCTAACATAATTTATATATAATTGTTAATTTCAAAATATAATAACTCTAAATTGAAAGTGAATCTAAAAATATATATTAGACCAATATAATATTTTAACATAATCTTTATATATTTTATTTAAATTATATATATATATTTATTTATTTATTTATTGGGGCATGGGGTGGGTCATGGCCTAGGTAGGCCCACCTCTAAATCCTCCCCTGCAAGCAGTCTTTGTATTTTGAGATCAATCATCATGAGAAAGGAGAATTCTTTTACGGATAAAAAAAAAGGGAAGGCAAAACCTAAAGGTGCGTTTGGTTTACATAATGTAAGATTATCAATGGGAATAAAAGATTACCAGTAGGAATAAAAGATTACTAGGGAATAGGATTACTGGGAATGTTGTATTTTGTGTTTGGTTGGTTTAGCAGGAATATAAGATTTTCGTGTTTGGTTAAAGGAATAAAAGATTATTAGAATGTATATTTGACCAAATTGTCCTTATTATATATTTGTATAATATTACAAATTGTAAAATATTTATATATTTTCTTTAAAAAATTAAATTCATAATATTTATATAATTTTTTTATAAAATTAAAAATATAAAAAAGGTTTAATGAAAGGGTAAAAAAATTTTAACCCCTGAATTTTATATAAAATTTTAATTATAGATTTTTTTTTGTAAATTTAAAATAATTTAAGGATAAATTTGTAATTTAACCTTCGTATAATTTTTATTATTCAATGACAGAAGAATGATATTTTTGAAAAAAAATAAAAATTTAAGAGCATTTTAGTCCAAAACGCCGATAATGTTACAATACCTAAGAGAAGGGAGGTAATGACATTCCCGGTAATATACCCCAAAAAATATACTATTGGTAATAAAACATTACCAGAAATGAGATTCCCGACCAACAAAACATGAGAATGTGGGATTCGATGGAATCCCATAATCCTTGAACCAAACAACCCCTAAAGGTACAAAATTTATCAATATTTGAATCGAACACGCAACCTTCTGATTTGGAATCACACGCTCTACCACTGCGCCACGGATTGGATTGTATTATTAACATGCCATTCAAGTCCCTTTATTATAAACCACCTATTTAATCCACCTATCATAGATACTATCTCTAACTAATCCATTTACAATTAAATAAATTAAGTTAATCTTTGTACTAGTAAATAAATTAAATGAAGCTATTTTATTAGATAGTAAAATAAACCAACAATCATTAAAATTTAGAATATTTTTTTTCTATCATTGAAGTTTAAAAAGTTAAAAGTTACAAATACTAACATGCAATTGGTAATAAAATGGTTACTTTATCATTAATGTTCGTTAGTTAGGTAACTCTAGTATGATGTGACAAGGTAGGGTAAGTGGTTCAACACCCTTTAATCACAAGCTCATGTTTTAATGGATCATTTGACTCTCTATTAACAGAGAGCGAAGAAGGTGAGTAGAAAAAAGAAACAAAGGGGTGTGAAAAATTGGCAATGACAGAGTCAATCTATATACTACCGTACACTTATGGACATTCCACTCAGTTAGTTGCTGTTTGGACTAACGACAATTTATAGATGGAGATTCTTTAGTTTTCGAAATCACAGAAAGAAAACGTTCAAACGTTGTAGTTTCTTTCTTTGGTTGGATCCTCTCATGGTGTCGTGTAAAAGTGATTATGATAACGAATGAATAAGGTTGT